GGGCTCCCAGAGGGACTCGCACATGCCGTACATCTGCTCGGAGCAGGTGTCCCAGGTGTGTCCCCACGTGTCCCCAGGTGTCCCAGGTGTGTCCCCAGCCTGTCCCAGCTGTCCCAGGCTGTCCCCCCATGTGTCCCCACATGTCCCCATGTCCCCCCAGGTGTCCCCAGGGTCACTGACCATGTCGGGCTCCCAGAGGGACTCGCACATGCCGTACATCTGCTCGGAGCAGCTGTCCCAGGTGTGTCCCCAGGTGTCCCCATGTTCCCCCAGGTGTCCCCAGGTGTCCCCAGGTGTCCCCAGGTGTCCCCATGTTCCCCCAGGTGTCCCCAGGTGTCCCCAGGTGTCCCCAGGTGTCCCCATGTCCCCCCAGGTGTCCCCAGTGTCACTGACCATGTCGGGCTCCCAGAGGGACTTGCACATGCCGTACATCTGCTCGGAGCAGGTGTCTCCAGGCTGTCCCAGCCTGTCCCAGCTGTCCCCCCATGTGTCCCCACATGTCCCCAGGTGTCCCCAGGTGTCCCCATGTCCCCCCAGGTGTCCCCGGTGTCACTGACCATGTCGGGCTCCCAGAGGGACTCGCACATGCCGTACATCTGCTCGGAGCAGGTGCCGCTGAGCACGAAGTCCTGGGTGACCATGGGGCAGCCGATGAGGTCCAGCGAGCAGATGAAGGGCTCCAGGCTCAGCGGGTCCAGCCCCGCGATCACCGGCTCCGCGTAGTACGGCCCGAACCTGGCACGGCCGGGGGCATCCCGGGGGTCAGGGGGCATCCGGGGGTCAGGGGGCATCCGGGGGTCAGGGGGCATCCGGGGGTCAGGGGGCATCCCGGGGGCATCCCGGGGGCATCCGGGGGTCAGGGGGCATCCCCGGGACCACCCTGTCCTCCTCGGGTCACAGGGATGGTCCCTGTCCTCCTCGGGTCACAGGGACCATCCCTGGGGTCACGGGGACCATCCCTGGGGTCACAGGGACCTCCCTGTCCTCCTCGGGTCACAGGGACCGTCCCTGTCCTCCTGGGGTCATCCCTGGGGTCAGGGGGACCATCCCTGTCCTTCTGGGGTCATCCCTGGGGTCACCGGGACCATCCCTGGGGTCACAGGGACCACCCTGTCCCTCTGGGGTCATCCCTAGGGTCACGGGAACCATCCCTGGGGTCACGGGGACCTCCCTGTCCTCCTCGGGTCACAGGGATGGTTCCTGTCCTCCTGGGGTCATCCCTGGGGTCACGGGGACCATCCCTGGGGTCAGGGGTCATCCCTGAGGTCACAGGGACCACCCCTGGGGTCACAGGGACCACCCCTGGGGTCACGGGGACCATCCCTGGGGTCACGGGGACCATCCCTGTCCTTCCGGGGTCATCCCTGGGGTCATCCCTGGGGTCAGGGGTCATCCCTGGGGTCAGGGAGATCTCCCTGTCCTCCTCGGGTCACAGGGATCACTTGTGTCCTTACGGGGTCATCCCTGGGGTCAGGGGTCATCCCTGGGGTCATCCCTGGGGTCAGGGGTCATCCCTGGGGTCAGGGGTCATCCCTGGGGTCATCCCTGGGGTCACGGGGACCTCCCAGTCCTCCTGGGGTCACGGGGATCCCATCCCTGACACTTTTCCTCAGGTTTTTTCCCAGTTTTTTGCATTTTCCTGCAGTTTTTTCCCTTTTTTTCCCAGTTTTTTGCATTTTTTTTTTACCATTTTCCCCAATTTTTTCCCCAGTTTTTTTCCATTTTTCCGATTTTTTTTTTTTTTGCCATTTTCCCCAGTTTTTTCCCCACTTTTTTCCAGATCTTTTTTACCATTTCCCCCCGTTTTTTTCCCCCAGCTTTTTTCCATTTCTTCGATTTTTTTTTTGCCATTTCCCCGTTTTTTTCCCCGTTTTTTCCCCCGTTTTTTACGTTTTCCAGCAGCTTTTCCCGTTTTTTCCCGATTTTTGCATTTTTTGGCATTTTTTGGGCAGTTTTCGCCCCGCTCTCAGCCTCACCTCCTCTCGTAGAGCAGGTTGGACACCATGCTCATGAAGGTCTGGGGCTTGATCTGCCTCCCCTCCTTCAGCTCGTAGAGGTTCAGCCGGAACTTCAGCCGCTGCGCCCTGGGGAGCCAAATTCGGGGGGAAAAGGGAATTTTGGGAGTTAATGTCGGGATTTAGCAGGGGAAGGGGAATTTTAGGGGTTAAAAGTTGAATTTTAGGGGTTGAAAGTTGAATTTTAGGGGTTAAAATTGAATTTTAGGGGTTGAAAGTTGAATTTTAGGGGTAAAAAGTTGAATTTTAGGGGTTGAAAGTTGAATTTTAGGGGTTAAAAGTCGGGTTTTAGGAGTTAAAGTTGGATTTTTAGGAGGGAAAAGTGAATTTTAGGGGTTAAAATTGAATTTTAGGGCTTGACAGTCGGGTTTTAGGAGTTAAAGTTGGGTTTTAGCAGGGATTTCCCAGCCCTGCAGCCCCGCCCGGTTCCCGTTCCCGTTCCCGGTTCCCGTTCCCATTCCCGGTGCTCACACGCTCTGCACGTCCATGGCCAGCCCTGGTTCCCCGGTCCCCGTTCCCGTTCCCCGTTCCCATTCCCGTTTCCAGTTCCCGTTCCCGTTCCCGTTCCCATTCCCGGTCCCCGTTCCCGTTCCCCATTCCCCATTCCCCGTTCCCCATTCCCGGTTCCCGTTCCCATTCCCGTTCCCCGTTCCCGTTCCCGGTTCCTGGTTCCCGTTCCCGTTCCCATTCCCCGTTCCCATTCCCGTTCCCGTTCCCATTCCCCGTTCCCATTCCCATTCCCGTTCCCGGTGCTCACACGCTCTGCACGTCGGTGGCCAGCCCCGGTTCCCGTTCCCATTCCCTGTTCCCGTTCCCGGTTCCCGTTCCCGGTTCCCAGTTCCCGTTCCCGGTTCCCGTTCCCCGTTCCCAGTTCCCGTTCCCGTTCCCTGTTCCCGGTTCCCGTTCCCGTTCCCGTTCCCCGTTCCCGTTCCCATTCCCGGTTCCCGTTCCCCGTTCCCAGTTCCCGTTCCCGTTCCCTGTTCCCGGTTCCCGTTCCCGTTCCCCGTTCCCGTTCCCATTCCCATTCCCGTTCCCATTCCCTGTTCCCGTTCCCGTTCCCGGTGCTCACACGCTCTGCACGTCGGTGGCCAGCCCCGGTTCCCGTTCCCATTCCCTGTTCCCGTTCCCATTCCCCGTTCCTGTTCCCCGTTCCCGGTTCCCATTCCCCGTTCCCGTTCCCCGTTCCCGTTCCCATTCCCGTTCCCGTTCCCGTTCCCGTTCCCGTTCCCAGTGCTCACACGCTCTGCACGTCCGTGGCCAGCCCCGGTTCCCCGTTCCCGTTCCCCATTCCCGGTTCCCCGTTCCCGTTCCCCATTCCCGGTTCCCCGTTCCCAGTTCCCATTCCCCGTTCCCATTCCCCATTCCCGTTCCCCGTTCCCGTTCCCCATTCCCCGTTCCCGTTCCCATTCCCGTTCCGGTTCCCGGTGCTCACACGCTCTGCACATCCGTGGCCAGCCCCGGTTCCCGATCCCCCTGCCCGGTTCCCGTTCCCCGTTCCCGTTCCCATTCCTGTTCCCGTTCCCGTTCCCGTTCCCGTTCCCGGTGCTCACACGCTCTGCACGTCGGTGGCCAGCCCCGGTTCCCGTTCCCCGTTCCCATTCCCAGTTCCCGTTCCCGTTCCCGGTTCCCGTTCCCGGTGCTCACACGCTCTGCACGTCGGTGGCCAGCCCCGGTTCCCGTTCCCATTCCCATTCCCGTTCCCGTTCCCGTTCCCGTTCCCGTTCCCATTCCCGTTCCCGTTCCCGGTTCCCGTTCCCGGTGCTCACACGCTCTGCACGTCGGTGGCCAGCCCCGGTTCCCGTTCCCATTCCCATTCCCCGTTCCCGTTCCCGTTCCCGTTCCCGGTGCTCACACGCTCTGCACGTCCGTGGCCAGCCCCGGTTCCCCGTTCCCGGTTCCCGTTCCCATTCCCGGTTCCCCGTTCCCATTCCCGGTTCCCATTCCCGGTTCCCGGTTCCCGTTCCCGTTCCCCGTTCCCGTTCCCATTCCCGTTCCCGTTCCCCGTTCCCGTTCCCATTCCCATTCCCATTCCCGTTCCCGGTTCCCGTTCCCGGTGCTCACACGCTCTGCACGTCGGTGGCCAGCCCCGCCAGGCCGAGCAGCAGCCGCGGGCCCATGGGGAAGATCCGGCGGCAGTCGGTGCTCACGGTCTGCGCCTGGATCCCGAAGCGCCGGTCGGCGGCGACGGCGACGCAGCCCCGGCCCCGCATGGCCAGCACGGCGCCGCCGTTGTACGCCAGGATGGACTGCGGGGAGCCGGTACCGGGTCAGAACCGGGTCAGAACCGGGACAGAACCGGGACAGAACCGGCACCGGGACCACCGGCACTGGGACAGAACCGGCACCGGGACCACCGGGTCAGAAACGGGACAGCCCCGGGACAGCACCGGGTCAGAACCGGCGGCACCGGGTCAGCACCGGGATCACCGGGTCAGCCTCGGCACCACCGGGTCAGCACCGGGTCAGCACCGGGATCACCGGGTCAGCCTCAGCACCACCGGGTCAGCACCGGCGGCACCGGGTCAACACCGGGACAGCACCGGGACAGCCCCAGCCCCATCGGGACTGCACCGGGTCAGCACCGGCGGCACCGGGTCAGCACCGGGACCACCGGGGCAACCCCGGCACCACCGGGAACCATCACCGGGACAGCCCCGGCACCGGGATTGATTTCCCGGGCCAGCCCCGGGACCGGGATTCATCCCCGGGGCATCCCCAGTACCGGGATTCACGTCCTGGGCCAGCCCCGGTACCGGGATTCATCCCCGGGACATCCCCGGTTCATGTCCCGGGACACTCCCGGTACCGGAGGCGCCGCCGCGGGTCTCACCATGGCTGCGGCTGCTCGGTGACGCCTCAGTCCCCGCTGGGTGCCGGTTCTGCCCCGGTTCTGTCCCGGTTTTGTCCCGGTTGTGCCCCGGTTCTGTCCCGGTCCCGTCCCCGCTGTGTCACCGCTCCCGGTCCCGCTCCGGCCCCGCCACGCCGCCGCCGCTCCCGCCCCCCGCCGCTTCCCATTGGTCAATCCCACTGCCACTCCCGCCTCTGGCGCTTCCCATTGGTCAATCCCACTGCCACTCCCGCCCCCGCCGCTTTTCATTGGTCAATTCTACGCCACTCCCGCCCTCACCGCTTCCTATTGGCTGCCGCCATCTCGCTCACGGCGATGCTTCCCATTGGTCGCTGTGACCGCCGCTCTCACTTTGGCGCTTCCCATTGGTCGCCGCCGCCGCCCGGGGCGCGCGCAGGTGATTGGCTGAGGCGGGGGAGGGTGGGCGGGACGGGCGCTGGTGATTGGCTGAGGCGGGGGAGGGTGGGCGGGGCGGAAATGGCGATCACAGCGAGCGCGCGAGGCACGACGGGAGCGACGAGGGGGCGGGGCCGCGGCTGGGAAATGGGAAAGGCCGGAAAGTGGAACGGCTGAAAATGGGAATGGGCGGGAAAATGGAACAGCCGGAAAGTGGAACGGCGGGAGCTGGGAACGGGTGGGGAAATGGGAACGGCTGGGAATGGGGAAACAGCTGGAAATGGAAACAGCTGGAATTGGGGAAACAGCTGGAAATGGGGAAACAGCTGGAAATGGAAACAGCTGGAATTGGGGAAACAGCTGGAAATGGGGAAACAGCTGGAATTGGGAACGGCTGGAATTGGGGAAACAGCTGGAAATGGAAATGGGTAGAATTAGGGAAACAGCTGGAAATGGGAACAGCTGGAATTGGGGAAACAGCTGGAAATGGGAACGGCTGGGAATTGGGGAAACAGCTGGAAATGGAAATGGGTGGGAAAATGGGAATGGGTGGGATTTGGAACGGGTGGAAACTGGAATGGCTGGGATTGGGAACAGCCGGAATTGGGAATGGGTGGGAAAATGAGAACAGCTGGAATTGGGAACAGCTGGAATTGGGGAAACAGCTGGAAATTGGAACGGTGGGGATTGGGAATGGGTTGGGAAAATGGGAGAACAGCTGTAATTGGGAACAGCTGGAAATGGGAATGGCTGGAAAATGGGAACAGCTGGATCTGTCTGGATCTGTTAGCTCTGCTGCTAAATCCCAATTTAAATCCCAATTTTAAATCCCAATTTTAAATCCCAATTTTAAATCCCAATTTTAAATCCCAATTTTTAAATTCCCATTTTTAAATCCCATTTTTTAAGCTGCATTTTTGAGGGGTTTTCCATTTGAAACCCCGGGATTGATCCCCGGGTTGAAACGGGAATTCCGGCATTTCGGGAATTCCGGCATTTCGGGAATTCCGGCATTTCGGGAATTCCAGCATTTTGGGAATTCTGGCATTTGAGGGGGGACGCTCGCCCTGGGAGATCCTTCAGCTTCACTTTGGGGAGAAATTCGGGATTGGGGTGGAAAAACGGGAATCGGGATGGAAACAAGAATTTGGGATTGGGACGGAAAGAGGAATTGGGATGGAAACCAGAATTGGAATTGGGATGGAAACAGGGATTCGGGATTGGGATGTAATCAGGAACTGGGATGGAATCAGGGATTGGGATGGAAAACCAGGAATTGGGATGGAAAACCAGGAATCGGGATGGAATCAGGAATCGGGATGGAAACAGGAATTTGATATTGGGATGGAAACAGGAATTCGGATGGAAACAGGAATTCGGATGGAAACAGGAATTCGGGATTGGGATGGAATCAGGGATTGGGATGGAATCAGGGATTGGGATGGAAAAACAGGAATTGGGATGGAAAAACAGGAATTGGGATGGAAAAACAGGAATTGGGATGGAAACAGGAATTTGGGATTGGGATGGAATCAGAATTTGGGATGGAATCGGGAATCAGGATGGAAACAGTAATTTGGGATTTGGATGGAATCAGGGATGGGGATGGAAACAGGGATTGGGATGGAATCAGGAACTGAGATGGACAAAGTGGGATTGGGATGGAATCAGGAATTCGGGATGGAATCAGGAATTCGGGATTGGGATGGAATCCGGGAACGGGATAGAATCAGGAATCGGGATTGGGATGGAATCAGGGATCGGGATGGAATCAGGAATTCGGGATTGGGATGGAATCCGGGATCGGGATGGAATCAGGAATTCGGGATTGGGATGGAATCCGGGATCGGGATGGAATCAGGAATCCGGGATCGGGATGGAATCAGGGATCGGGATGGAATCCGGGATCGGGATGGAATCCGGGATATCCAATCCCCTCCCGGCAGAGCCCCGGGGACGGCCCGGGGCACACCGGGAGCGGCTTCTCCGCCCGGCCGGGAGCACCGGGAGCGGCTCCGGTGTCCCGGAATGTTCTCCGTGCCCGGTTCCGCCCGTGGCGGCGCCGGGAAAAGCGCCGGGAAAAGCGCCGGGAAAAGCGGGAAAAGGAGCGGCCGTCCCTGGGTGGGCTCGAACCACCAACCTTTCGGTTAACAGCCGAACGCGCTGACCGATTGCGCCACAGAGACCGCGCTGCCCGCCCGCCGCGCCGCCAACGCTCGGCGCCGGAATACCGGGATACCGGGAATGGCGGGAACGCCGGGAATACCGGCATGGCGGGAATACCGGGATGGCGGGAATGCCGGGATGGCGGGAATACCGGGAATACCGGGATGGCGGGAACACCGGGATGGCGGGAATGCCGGGCACACCGGAATGCCGGGAATACCGGGAATACCGGGAGCGGGACAGCGGGAATGCCGGGAATACCGGGAACACCGGGAATACCGGGATGGCGGGACAGCGGGAATACCGGGAACACCGGGAATACCGGGAGCGGGACAGCGGGAATGCCGGGAATACCGGGAACACCGGGA